ATATACAATAATAATAATTGAATATTACCATGTGGTGTGGTATTACGGTGTTACCTCATTATGCGACTACGGGGGCAAACCACAGGGCAAACGTTGTTAAAGTGGATAACAGATGGCGCCCCTTGAAGTTGCGCATAGCCCAGCTTGTTTTGCTCGCCATTTTGGTTCGTCTCTTCGTTCTCGATAAAAATATCCGTTTCAATCAGAGGTTTGGCAGATTCATCGTCGTATGAGACACGTTTAATATAGTTTACAAAAATTGTAGATATGGCAACTACGAACGAAAAGTTGTCAACTTTAGATAGGCTTGTGAAAAGTAAGTATGAGTGATAGGTTGACTGTTTATGTACGTAGGATGTCCTATTTTCTAAATGTTGTCAAACGCTGTGTAACGTGTGTTGTAAAATTGCGGTCATACATCGCAGGTATTATAGTTAGCTATATCTCATGCGATAAAAAATTTAATACCAATATCCAGGGAAATTTAATTAAGAACAAATTGCTCTTGTTTGTGTCTTCTCAATCACTTGGTCTTACATTATACAGTAGTATTACTATTAGTACTAATTTATAGGCCGAATTCAACGACAGAGCAAATACCTACATTTTCCGAACATAATTGCCATAGACTACAGTACAGTACAGAGTATAGTAGTATTACTATTAGTACTAATTTATAGGCCGAATTCAACGACAGAGCAAATACCTACATTTTCCGAACATAATTGCCATAGACTACAGTACAGTACAGAGTATAGTAGTATTACTATTAGTACTAATTTATAGGCCGAATTCAACGACAGAGCAAATACCTACATTTTCCGAACATAATTGCCATAGACTACAGTACAGTACAGAGTATAGTAGTATTACTATTAGTACTAATTTATAGGCCGAATTCAACGACAGAGCAAATACCTACATTTTCCGAACATAATTGCCATAGACTACAGTACAGTACAGAGTATAGTAGTATTACTATTAGTACTAATTTATAGGCCGAATTCAACGACAGAGCAAATACCTACATTTTCCGAACATAATTGCCATAGACTACAGTACAGTACAGAGTATAGTAGTATTACTATTAGTACTAATTTATAGGCCGAATTCAACGACAGAGCAAATACCTACATTTTCCGAACATAATTGCCATAGACTACAGTACAGTACAGAGTATAGTAGTATTACTATTAGTACTAATTTATAGGCCGAATTCAACGACAGAGCAAATACCTACATTTTCCGAACATAATTGCCATAGACTACAGTACAGTACAGAGTATAGTAGTATTACTATTAGTACTAATTTATAGGCCGAATTCAACGACAGAGCAAATACCTACATTTTCCGAACATAATTGCCATAGACTACAGTACAGTACAGAGTATAGTAGTATTACTATTAGTACTAATTTATAGGCCGAATTCAACGACAGAGCAAATACCTACATTTTCCGAACATAATTGCCATAGACTACAGTACAGTACAGAGTATAGTAGTATTACTATTAGTACTAATTTATAGGCCGAATTCAACGACAGAGCAAATACCTACATTTTCCGAACATAATTGCCATAGACTACAGTACAGTACAGAGTATAGTAGTATTACTATTAGTACTAATTTATAGGCCGAATTCAACGACAGAGCAAATACCTACATTTTCCGAACATAATTGCCATAGACTACAGTACAGTACAGAGTATAGTAGTATTACTATTAGTACTAATTTATAGGCCGAATTCAACGACAGAGCAAATACCTACATTTTCCGAACATAATTGCCATAGACTACAGTACAGTACAGAGTATAGTAGTATTACTATTAGTACTAATTTATAGGCCGAATTCAACGACAGAGCAAATACCTACATTTTCCGAACATAATTGCCATAGACTACAGTACAGTACAGAGTATAGTAGTATTACTATTAGTACTAATTTATAGGCCGAATTCAACGACAGAGCAAATACCTACATTTTCCGAACATAATTGCCATAGACTACAGTACAGTACAGAGTATAGTAGTATTACTATTAGTACTAGTAGTGGCAACTTCTCACTTTTGAAACACCAACACACTCAGTGTGACTCGTTTAATGTTACATATTTATATGATTACGTGTAGTTGTAACTAAGCCAAGCGAGTAAGGCATTGTATCGCATCGTATCACAGGCATTGACAGTAGTTGGTCAGTGCACTGTCAGTTGTGAAGCGTACTAAATGCATCAATATTTTCTACTGGCATGCGTTTTTACGTACATTATACTTATTACATAGATACGCTATCATAGACAGACAGACGAGTGGGAGGGGGAGGATTTACGATATATATAAATAATCATGCAGTTGTGTAACTCTCCTACAGTGCACCTTATGAACTACTACTACTACTACTAGTACTATTTACTAATATCTTTTCCATTTATTGGCACAATGCATCGTCAGAATAACAATTGGAAAAGTTATTGTTATCAACTGGTAGTTCCACGTAGAGCTTGGTATTGATGTTGATATAAATTTCGGTTGATTTATAAAGTCATTTCCTGTCATCATTCAATTCGCTATATTTGTGTCATATATTTGGCTTACAGATATGACAAATGATATTACCAATTAAAAATAGATCCACAGCAATGGATGAGGTGAAATTTGTTTATTTAATTCATGATGGATGGTGCATGTCATTTGGCTAAAAGGGCCAGAGTCTTTTGTCAGAAACATCAATGTAAATTTGAGGCTAATGTTAATGCTAAGAAAGCACTTACAACTAATTAGTAATGTTAATGTTATGAGAATAGCTTTGACAGAAACATATCATAGCTATGAGAGAACCTACAATAGCAGGAACCTGATAATTTGCTGTCACAAAAGGCTGATGATTGGGTGAGAATCGATCACAAAACTCGGATTCATATAAATTTATTGTACAAGACAGGAATTTATGCATATTATAATAGTTATGTTATTATGTTATTAAATCTTTATTGAATGTAATTGAAATACAAATACATGTACTGAAGACAGTCTCTTTCATGGAGAAAATCTGAGAGATGCAATAGTGTTGAGCGGTTAAAATAATAAAATTTCCGAGTAATACACTACAAAACAATGCTATACACAAATAAAAAATATAATACAAAAACGACAATACTTTTTGCACAAGTGCATTGATTAATGTACACTTCAAGGCTAACTCAGGTCGCCCTTACGACCTAGTCGCCGACAAAATTTGAAGACTACGTCTAAACCGACCAGATCGCCGATAACAACATCCGCGACTAAACTCGACATGAGTTCTCTTACGATCGAAAATACGGTCGCCGACTGCGATCACAGGAATAGAAACGGTTCTATTTCTATGCGGCGGTCGGCGACAAATCTTGAGTGGCAGCCAATCACCGCTACGTGTCGATTCACATGATTATCAAAAGTCACGTGATTAACAAAATAGCAGCCTACACAGCAGTTTACAAGGAGGGATTATTGCACAAACCCTTTCTCAAATAAATATTAAGTTTTCCGTATACCACAGGCAATTTTTTAAATTATTTTTCTGCACATGTATGATTATAACGATTTTCAGAAAATTGAGGATAGATTTACGAAATTACCTGATAACAGTGATGTTTACTGGTAAGCGCCGTTTTGTTGGTCATATGACTCGTTTTATGTAGACTGGTCCCGGCGTCAAGCTTGCTCTGTTTGTGCTAAAGAACTGCTTGTGCTAGTTAAAATACTAGGGCGCGAACCCGTCTACGTTTCCTGCAGAATGCTACGATCTGATCGGCGATGTACAGCGTGAAGTCACTTCAAGTCGACGTGAGTGTTGCTACGCTGCTAATCGGCGATAAAGTAGTCGCCGATAGTCAAATCGTAGGGAGACCTGAGCAGGGCTTTAAAGGATTTATTTCAAAATCATTGCTAAAAAATGCAATGTAAAAAAAATATAGTGAAATATAGTCTCACCTAATAACAGATATATTACTGATTACACTAACTTGAAAACCTCTTAGAATTTATGCTGTTATAGCATAGAAAATTGGAATTGAACATGCCGTAACACCATGGCATATTTGATTATAAATAGTGACAATTAGTTTGCAAATGGTGCCTTTAAAACAAGTGCACCGATAGTGCACATTATTCAATATATAAGGCCATCTGGTTCTGTGTTGTTTACTACGTTTCTATTTTTAAATTGACCGACACACGCTATCGCGGGATAGTTTCAGATTCGCAAGAAATGGCGGCAGAAGTCAAAACGAGTAATCAAAATTCGAAAATCATGCATGTTTTGGCGAATATGGTCAAGTACGAAGGTATTAAGACATGTTAGTGGGGGAAACACTAGAGACTGGTTGGAAATTATTTTCGAAGTCCTGGCTTTAAAATCATCTCAACACTCAGGACTACGTACTCTGACGCACGTGCTCACTCTCGTATAAACCTACACCCATACATACACATTAACACGCACTAGCACAAGCACACGCACATGCACACACACACACACACATTCACATATTCTGATTCAGAATACATCATAATAAAAGTCATTATTCTCCTATCTGCTATATGTTGTTAACATTGTATTTTTTACAGTTTTTAGCTCATCTGACGTAGTCAGGTGCAGCTTGTAGAATCGCATGATTGTTCGTCCGTCCGTCCGTCCGTCAACAGTTGGGCACAAATCTTAACCGCTCGATGTATGGTCACGATATTTGGGACGTGGGGGGGGGGGGTTATCAAGAGCTAATAATACCTAGTATAGGTATTATTAGCTCTTGATGTTATGTTACCTTTCAGTTTCTAAATTTGGATGTAATTACTGAGAGAGTTTTTATCTCAACTTTGATGTTTGCATCCACTAGAATGTAAATTTCCTAAACAGATGGGTAATTGAACAGTTGTGTTTGAACTTTCAGTTATTTTAGTTGAGTTTGATACTACCTTTAGAGTTATAATGAAAGTGCATATAATATTGAGTGATTTGATTTTAGATATATATAGCAACTGCCAAATAACAATATGTTAATGACCTCTTGATAATAGTAATTGGTAAATAATTCATATAATTTTAGCAACTCGTAATAACCAAAGCAATAGTTTTATCTGCAACCATCTAGTATTCAAACAGTGAGTAACTTGAAACTTGTTTTTGCACAAATTCAATGGGTTTTTAGCTCATCTGACATAGTCGGATGCAGCTTGTAGAATCGCATGAGCGTCCGGCCGTGCGTCCGTCCGTGCGTCAACAGTTGTGCACAAATCTTAACCGCTTGACGTATGGTCACGATATTCGGGACG